TCCGCTCGTGAGCATGGAGAGGGGGGAATTATCGTGTTCGTACGAGACTTTTGCATAGATTGTTGCATCTTCGTAGAAAATAATGTTTCTTTATAGAATATTTACTAGCGCAAATACACAGCGCAGTACTTTTCCCACGTACACCAAAGCTGGGGATCGCTTTTTACTGCTCTCCACCCCTTTCCGTCCCTATTCATAGAGTGAGGCAGCGCTTGTTGGGTGTAACAGCCCACCCTCTTTCTCTCTCCTTCGATCTAATCAATTATTTAGCGTTGCCACTGTGCTCTGTTACGAGATAAATATTCTGTCCGCGTAATGCGAAACTACTCGAACAGCGACAGGGGCTTGATGCAACGAACGTTCCGACGATTACGCGAGCGACAGTATCCAATCGCATCGCCAGAGACCAATCTCCGAGCGAACTGGATTGTCATTCGATTGACTCTTTTTACGAGGAAATTGTTCCCGTTCATTGCGCATGGTGAGAGAGGACAAACTGTCAATATTTTTATCAAGAGAAACACTGATAATCGACCAGTGTGACATAATTAATTAATAATGTCGATTAAATGCAAAGAAAGTTGTTAAAAAGCGAAAATTAGCGTTATAGTTCAACGTGATATCACGATTTCGCGCTGAGATGCGATAAAAGTCGGAAAGTTTTAAATAAAAAATGCTCGCTGCCTTTCGAGGACCACACTCATATGCTTGGTTTTTCACGTCAGCGCGACTCCCTTCGCATTGTCGCCGGTCAACCCGGCTTTTTTCTTGTACCTTTTTCCACTTCTTGTTTCTTCTCTCCCTCTCTCTATCTCTTTTCCTCACCGGCACTTTATTCGTGCTCCTCGATGTGGGGTTTAGCACCAGTTCTCCAAAGGGTAGCATAAATTATTCGTGCGTCGGTGAAAACGTCTAAGTGACACATGGATGCCTGACACCCGAATTGATCCTCGATCGGGACGCACGGATCGGACGACGCATCAACGATGCGATGGTAGCTCTGAGAGAGCGACTGCAATTTTACACAGGAAGGAAGAAGGAGGCATACGGGATCGTTCAAGGGTAAGGTCTCGTGCATAATTTATCAAGTTCTTGCGAAATCATGTTAATACGCGCTGAATGGATCAATTTGAACCTTTCGGGATTGTGTTGAAAAATGTCGATAATATAGAAAAATCATTCGAAAGAAAGTCTTTTGCTTAACGTATAATCTGACTTAATCTATTGATCAACTTACTTTAATGCTTTCACATCACGATACTTTTGTATTGTTTACTTTTCTAATACTTTTGCGTGTAAAAGTGATGAAGAAAATCGATCCCCTTCGGCGCATTTGAGAACTAATGAAATTGGTTCCGGTCGGAGAAAATACGAATAAATAGCAGCATATAAGAGAGGGCTTTTTTTTTCACGAAGTAGGTATTACTTTATGGCATTAACGTCTGCGGTCGGTCTTACACACTCGTGACGACATTTTTAACGTTCGCATTGCAACATCCATATCCTCCGAGGAGTAACGACTGCAGGCCGTCGGTTCCAAGTATAGACGTCGAAAAATATTTTCTCCCTTCCTTCCCCCTTTTTGTCGATGTACTTGAATAAGTATGGAACCATTTCGAGCATGGTTGAAACCCCGCAAAGTATTGAGGTTAATAACCGCGCAGAGTAATAGCCTGAAGATGCAGCTATACAGTTCGAGATCACTTTGAATATCTGCCGTTCATCATTTGCAACTGTATTAGTATTTCACACTAATCTTTCGACGCGCGACTATCAGCTGTCATAGTCGATCTTCTTTCCTGTAGTAGTATCCACTACCATATATAATGCTCAGCGACTCGTCCAGAGCTTAAATCGCGCGCGCGCGCGCGCGCGCCTGGAGAACTGTGCAATAATACGTGCCATTAGAAAAGTCCGAGTGGCGGTATAATGCAAAAGGCGAAAGAACTGCCGTTCACTACGTGTACGACGAATCATTTTGCAGTTATTACGACAGCAACCACAATGTTTATTGCGCAAATATAACGTGGTGGTCAAATGAATCGAAACATTCTTGCGCAACATGGCGCACAGGTTCATTCGTTTGCCTCGATCGAATATATACATACGTCGAACAATAGCTGGGGTACGAATGGTTGTTTCTCAACGCCAACTCTTTCAACGTACCAAAGAAATCATTCCTATGTTACGAGTAATTTGTTACAATAATTATTTTTATCCACGAGGTTGAAAACTAATCAAATATTTATACTAGAATAGCAAGAAATGATCAAAAATCATTGGATCAACTTATGCATTCATTTCATCTTTAACGTCAAACCATCTTAAATTCATATGAAAAAATTAAATGTTGAAGGTTAAATGTTACGAAGCTATGGAACTCGTGATAAACTTCTAAGTGCGTCGTGAAATCCATCGTAGCTTCTTAGAGTGGATAGAGGAAAAAAAGCGTAAACGCTACCTCGTTGAGTTAAGGGGAAAGGAGCATACGTCTTCCCGATAGGACGCGGAAAATGGCGGGTCGAGTCTGTCACCATTTTAAACTCATAGCTCGTATAAAAGGACGCGCCCGCGCATTTACGCGGTCGGGACAGCCGCCCCGACTGCACGGGGTGGATCGATCGGTCATTAGGAATTTCTCGGTAAGAGATATCGATCCACTCCTCGAGAGAAGGATCTCCGGTTAACGTCCGATTTGTACGATAATTAGATGAGACAGTTGGACAATAATGGAACAACGAGGGAATTTATTAGATGATAGGTCATTATCACGGCTTGCTGTCGACTCCAATAGTTCTCATTTTTTGCTAAATTCACAGCTTAATGTGTATTAATTCGTAACGTATTGCGATGTCATTCGCCCATCTCCTCAAGTTAAACTTCTTTCTATGTTTAAAATTGCAAATCCGTTAAAAATAAGTTTACTGCAGAGTAAACAGGTGTCTAGAAAAACAGAAGTCGAGATATTTTTATACACACGACACAACACAGACCGACATAATCGTCTTGACACATGAAGCTGTACTATTCTATCGCGTAAATCCATACTGCGCTCTGGTATAATTTCATGTTTTAAAGCAATTGTGCCGGTCAGGATACTTCGGAAGGAAAATGTTCATTTTTCCATTTTGCACAATTACAGAAACATTTCTACAAGCTTATTCTTTAATTATAAACATACTAATTATCTTTTAAAGTAATTCGAATATTGTTTTGAAATACCAATTAATGCTTAAAAATCATTCGGACACCTAGAAATTGGGGACACTTTGAAATGTTTAAATTCATTGAATTCCGATTTAAGAGTTAACGAACCGACATTATTTTTACTAACCGTTTCAGGTTGTATGTTTAAAAACCAAGAGACACGCAAATAGCATAGTTCATGCATTTTGCTTCTGTATGATGCCGATAACTCAGCAGGGTGAGTGGACGAACAAAACGAGAGCGGAAGAAGGGGAAATGAGGGGGAGGGGAGAGAGCAGAGTAAGAATATTCTTCGTAATTAAGTCTCGTCGCTTCCTTGGCTCAATGCGGCGCGACGCGACGACGATGCGAATCGGCGTCGAAGAGAATAAGAAAGAGGAAGAGAGATAGAGAGGAGAGGGGGAGAAAGACAAGAAAGAACTATATAAGGATAGCCAGAAGAAGAAACGATGCAAAGAAAGAAGTAACGGAGAGAGAGAGAGAGAGAGAGAGGAGAAGAGGAGGTGGAAAAAGGAGGCACAACGACGATCGAGCGATAAATAATACAGGGGAAAAAGCGAGCGATCGCGGCTGCAACATTCTGCTCAAATGTTAAATAGGTATCAATTTAACAGGCGGACCAATGCGCGCGCTCGTGGGCGTATAACGCCTCGGTCGGATTGGTCGAACGGAGAACGGTGGGCAGGTTTTGAGGGCGTCTAGACTCAATGTGAATCGCTGGTTCTCATCGCGACGCGCCGCGCTGTACCGCGTTGAGTAGTTAGGTAGGGATGAACCACCTGGTTTCTTCGCCCGATACTTTCATACACGTCCCCGCCGTCTTTCTCGACGCGACCGATTCACGCACTCGCTGCTGGTGCTCAGATTAGTTAGTCGGTGAAACTTGGAGTTTCGCCGAACCAGAGAACGCGGTTTATCTACGAATGATTTCCTCGGGAATTGATTTTTGAAGACTGGTGGAATTGGTGCGATCGCGTGGGCAACCTGTTACGTTTTGCATGAGGTGCGGAATTTCCCTATTTCGTGCGCGCGTTTCTGCTCCCAGTGTCGTCAAGAATCCGTAGTTTTAGGCTCCAGCTGAGACTGTGAACAATAGTGCGATCGGAATTCATAAGAGATTTCCTCGAAGACCGAAGGATTCTTTTCCATGGAAGTTTAAAACAATCAGAGTGAAGTGGTCACCTGCGTTGGAAAAGAGCGGAGATACTTTTTGTTTTTGTTCAAGATGACAACAGGACCGTTTGTTTGTTCAGCGGCCGAACGTGCCCCGTGAAAGAAAAATCAAGGATCGTGGATTCTTCGAGAGTTTCATTGGCTGAAGACCAAATTTGTTTGACGAAATTTACATATAATAATAGAGACAGGATTGATGTTTCTATGCTAAAAAGAAAAAAAAAAAAATAGGAAAACAATGACTGACTGAGAACCGATGAATGAAAGTGATAGAATTAGCGTCCAGATTGCGCGGTGTGAATTCGTAAGATACACTGTAGAAAAATGGATATTTGGTACGATCCGAGATAAAAATGATACCAGTCGTGGTGTACGCACATAGGAACAAAATGGCCGCCGTTCAGCGGAAAATTCATGAGGCGGTCGGTATGATAGTCGGAATCGAGTCGGTGTAACGAATCAAGACACTCGCAGTATTGAGCGTGAATTCGTCAAAGCGCAACCTGGTTCAAGACATACCGCATCAATGTTCCACTCGCAATGTCGCATTGCGAATCATCAGTAAGGATATCCGCTGTCTGAAGCACATCGAGCAGCTTGCGAGGAAAAGGTGCATCATCATGTCGGAGCACAGCGACGTGGACGCGACGGAGGAGATCAACGTGGACGACTCCGACTCGCAGAGTTGCAGTCCGCGGAATTACACGAGCCACGATGGCGGTGACCGCCACCACGTGTCTCAGGAGACCTCCGAGTGCTCCACTTCGCCACCTCCCAGCCAAACCACGAGGACGAACGATTCTTCCCCGCGCAGCCATCCGTTCAGCATAAGCCGTTTGCTGGGCGAGAGCGGCGTTCAGAGTCTGAAAAGCCCATCGCCTTCGGAAGAGCCGGACAGCGACAGAGAGAGAAAGTGGCCGTGGGAGGAAGGCAACAACAACCGGACGAGCGGTGTCGCGGACGACGGCAGGCGGTCCTGGGGAGACGTCGAGGAGAAGCTGTCGGAGAGGGACGACGACGACACCGGCGGCAGTACACCCGACACGCAGCGTGCCAACTCCTCCTCTTCGTCGTCCGTTCACTGTGCCTCGGCGACGGCGGCGGCGGCGGCAGCGGCAGCGGCGGATCTTCTCGCCCCCTTCAGACTCTTCCCTACCGGTACCACCGCTGGTCTCATCTACACCGGCGGTGGCGTCATACGGGTACCGGCTCACAGACCACCACCGAATGGCGCGCCCACCGGCAGTGCCTTGACACAGGCTGCGCTCATGTCCGCACCCTGGAGCCTGCAAGCTCTTCAACACAGCCAGCAGCAGCAGCAGGCGGCGGCGGCCGGCCTTCACAGGGCGAGTCTCCTGGCGAACCTCGCCGCTCATCCTCTCCAAGCGCATCCGCATCTCAAGGACAGACTAGCAGGTAGGTATCTCGCGCCCAACCTTCGTCGATTCAAGTTAGGGTTAACTTGACGGAGCAATGTCTTTATTGATTATCAACTGGATCGTTTTTGGAAAATGAACCAAAATAAGCCCGATATCTAACGAAAGCGTATATGCACACAGTTTCGATAGCTTGCGAAAGGAAAGAAAGAAGTTTGCTGAAACATTCATTTCTCTCTCGCAAATCATTACTAGAATATTTCTCCGAGATAACAATCGTACATGAAAAGTACATGTAAGACGATTATACGTGTCTCCGCATGCTACTTAACGCTAACACGATGCAGGAGGAACAGATGATTCATGCAATTAGCCAGAGAGATTGTCAGATATTATTAATTCCACGTTATACCGGCGAAGATTGGAGCGACGACCGAGCGGCGCGAATCGGGTGACGAAATATAAAGCGAGCGTCGACGAGAGGCACGATGTCGGGTACATCTTTGGATGACAACGTCGTAGATAATGGTAACGCATGAGTGTTGAAATATCTGTCTTGAAAATTCTTTGATAATTATTCGACAAAGTAGCCTTGTCAGATAGGAGACAAAAGATATCGGTATAAATAGGGTAGTTTCCAGTTTTATCTATTCAAATTCGGTCTACTACCCGAATACTGGCAATCAAAAATCACGGGAACCAAAAACCATCTATCTGTTATTGATTTTCGGCTAATTTTTTTCCTCAAAGTTTCGTGTGCGCCAGAATAGTTTGAACGCCGCAGTAATTAGACTGCTAGAGTTCAAGTATTATTTTAACACGCGCATTAACGTAAAACTGTTCGATGCTTCTTTCTTGAATAAAATCGATAGATAAACAATAAATTCCATAGGGGGAGAATTACACGTGGTTATTGTGACGGAGATTATGTTGAACGCGCGTTGAAAACTTTCGTGATATTCCTCAAGACGAATTCCTTGACGAATTTCCGGTTCCGTGTTCCCAATAATTGGGACGAGTCGGGATTTATGTCACACATCCGCGATGTGCCTTCAGCTCGTCACTAGACGTGGGTTTCTGTCTTGATGTCATCATTACCGAGCTTTGCGACTACTGCAACGCCGCTGCTAACCGTATATAGTAGAGGATTATCAATAATGTATTAGGAGCGAATTATTCACTCGCGCCGTCGTCGCGCGATCAGACCTGCACGTACGAAATCGTCGAAGACGGCGAGTGACACTTTAATGGTGTGCGGACAAGTCGAAGTCGTCACGTTACATTAGCTCGCCAGCTCCGCCGATAACCCTTTTTGTTCTCTTAGAAGCACAGTGTGTGTCTCTCTCTCTCTCTCTCTCTCTATCTTCATTAAAAATCTACACTGCACGTCAAATATATCTGAAAATTTGCTAAATTTCTAATTACTGCATTTTCGAGTTGAACGCGTCATAAAATCGAGTGAATCGAATACGATTTGTTCTTTTAAATTCGTTTTTCCTCGTTCCCAAAATATTCCCTCGGTTAGCCGATGCGGCTTATATTTTCTCGAGATCATTTATAAAAGCAATTTGGACACCATATCTGTCTCTCTGTGGAAGGTATAATTTTAAATTGCTTTAATCGGGAGAAATACAGGTACGGGAAATGTTGCGAGGGATCATTACGGGGCGCGGTCATCATTGCACGCGGGAAAAAGGACGTAAAGGCAAGACGTTAAGATACAGGTACGTGCAAAATACATAATTAGCGTCCGCGTACTGCTGCATTCCCGAAGACTTTTTCGTGCGGGTAATGAAACCAGCTATTACTCGCGTGGCGTGAGTGAAATGTATTTATGCGTACGAGCAATATTACTCCTTGCGATTATTTTGTTCGAAGTACGCTTGATGCCCCAAAGAGAAGAGCGCCGACACGCTATAGCGCAATGAAACAAAGTAATCGTTAAAATGACCAGCCGTTTCCACGTAACATTATTCCGCGCGGCAAGTGTCGATTCCAATGTATGATAAGATGCAAAGAATGTCATGCATCTTCTCTTCATTGTGGATAGACCAGCTGATGTAATATTTAAAATTTCGATTTTAAGACGTTGTCTAATAATATATCCGTTAATTATTATTATCGAGGAGCTGCGGACGTTCTAAAGTTGCACCTCGAAAGGTTACAAAGAAGGTTGGAAAGAAAACACGCGACGGATGTAATGTAATGTAACGCGAGGAAATTAATTTCCCTATAATTGCTCTTTCCGGGGGAAAAAAGACGCGTGAAGTATTGTAATTAATATGACATTTACTTCTTCATAATTAAAAGATATTTTTACCAAGCGTGTCGGACGAACGAACGAGGCGAAAATGCAAATTTTCTGTTTGCTGCTATTTATTTAGCATATCACGGCAATTGGATCGGTCGGCATTAGTCGTATCGATCGCACTATCCGACAGTGATTTATATTCCCGTGAAATATATAAAAGCGTGGCGACGCGTTCTGCTTGACGAGCTTGGGTGGTAACCAACGTTACTTGTTTTTTATCTCTTTTGTTCCGATTATATAACGCTACCACCTGCCATCTTTGACACCGATGTGACAAACGGTATGCTCGATTAGAGCCGAGGGCACCGACTCAACCGGAAACGACGCTACCGCATTATGAAGACGAGTCCATTTCGTGTATAATTATTTTTGTCTCGCCCGCATATTCATTCCTTTCATTTTATACCATTACTTTCACACTTTTCAGAGTAACCTGTCGGTCAACGAGATAAAAATCACCCTCTTTAAATCGCTTGAACCAAGAATTACACGTTATACGACACGATATCGTAGCTGAGAGAAAAATTAATCGATTCACACGCTTTCGTAGCATTCTTTCTGCGCTGGAATTTATAAATAAATTACAGTAATGACCACACTTTTTACTTATGGTCATTATTTTGAACGTTGTGTTTATAATTTCGATGTGTTACAAAACACAGTATTAAAAAGACTCTCACAGTGTTATCACATTATAAAAATTGTAGAAAAATACTTTGAATTTAAATTCCTTTTTCACATATTGCACGTAGAATATTGCATTAAAAAAATTGTCGTTATTATTTTCATCATTATCGTATGTGTAACATTAACGTTTTTCGCGGCATCGATTATTTGGATAGTTTTAACTCAGCGTGCGAAACAGACAGGGGATTTGCTGGAAAGCTTTCCAATCAATTAGGTGTTACAAAACTAACGCTATAAAATTCGGGTGTAACTGCTACACGAAACTAGGCTACAGTTTATGTTCAGAGAAACAATTTTGCCGATTCCGGCACAATGGTCTCGCTCTGATCATAAGCCAAAACATTCTGACTCATTTCAGTCAATAGCGTAGCGAAGTGGAGTTGTAGGAGATCCTGTTGCCAGAAATCCACATAAGGATCAAATCTACTTCCTCTTCGTCCAAATGTCCATTTCAAGTTTTATTGTCTTGGATAATATATGTATACAAGATGCGAAGAAAGAATGTAGTTGATATATACAGTGTTGTCAAAAAGTATTTATTGATATCGGCTTTGCACATTGTTGATCTCTAGAAAAAAAAAACTGCTCTCTCTCTCTCTCTCTCTCTCATAAAAAAGGGAACAGTATGCGATGCTACGCCAATGCGACTGGTAGAATGCGCTCGTCGTTAAAAGTGGGCTCGAACGATTCTACGAATGCTTCGAAACTCGCGACCAACACACTTTTCAATGTTTCTCGTCGCGGTAGGAGAACGCATTTTGAAAATTACAATAACTAGACAAGAATCGTGAAGGGAGAGAGAAATGTTAAACACATATTTTCAATGATTTCTCCAACATTTGCAAAAGACTATTTTATTCTACAATTGTTTTATATCGTCAATCAATTTCTGGATACTAACCGTGACATATCGGGACTCCTTCAGAAACAGGGTTATTTCGAAGGAATTTATTTCTATTCCCGGTAAGTCGACACTTTATTGACTGGAAATCAATTAAATCGAAAATAGATCGGTATTGAGGAGTCTTGTTAAAACTGGATTTAAATGTCAGAAGCGTAAAAAAAATTATAATTTTCACACATTTTCTCCGAGGAACAATATATATATTCATTATTCGTTATCTTATTTTCTCGTTATCGATTTTTCTGCCTCTTTTTTGGCAATTTCGTTCTTTCGGTCATCATGTTGCTTTCTTTTTTTCCTCCGCTCGTGTGCGGCTTCTAGGAATAATAAAGTCGAATGATTGGATAGTTTTACAATGACACCAGCTCGTCTTTGCGCGCCAGCAGTTCCGACTATTGTTTTCGTCTCTACAATTGTTTAGCTCTCGGCACTTGGACCGACCGGTTTCTAATTGAACTGTTTCAATTGTACCACGCAACACGCGGCGAAGAACGGGTCCAATGATCCTCGGGCGATGCGCCGGGACGAGAGTCTGGAGGCCCCGAGAACGTTATTGAGCCGCAACAGTAATTTTCTACAATGTACGCTCCTCTCGCGGAGGCATTCAATAATAATTAGGCCTTCGCACTTTTACGTCCGCATATTACTCCTCTGATTTGCGCCCTTCTGGGAAACGGCGGTTACGACATATGGGAGCAACGTTGCACGAAAGCTAAATGATTCGTCATTTCTGTCGAGAACACAACGAGTGCGTACCTAAATTCTAGAGCTCAGACAAAAGATCTGGAACATATCTCTCGAATAATTTCCTAACAATTCAAGATTTGATCTCAAAATGCGAAATATCGCAATTGTTTGCTCAACACTATGATTTTCGCGTAGCGTTGTGAATATATTCGAAACAGCGTGATAACAAAATATTCGTAGACGAAACGATAATTTGAATAAATTTCCTGCGACAATAGCCTCACTCATATTTGACTTACATTTGCGCGAGAAATCATCCTATCGTTGCTAGCACCGCCAATCTTATTCTGTATAAGGCTATATATTATTTCGAGTTTGAATCGGCGAGTGATACAAAGCAACTGAAACGCAATTTTCGTGAATCGATTAGCCACGAAGGGGTTCGAATCCA